GATGGCCAGGCCCCACACAGACTGTCGCTGCTGTCCCTTGTGTCCCTGTCCATCCTGGCTTGTGCTCCCTCTCAGGCACTGACTCCCCTCCATGTCCCTGCCTCTTCCCTGCACCACCTCTCGTGGTGGCTTTGTGGGTCAGGCAGGCACAGGAACATCTGTAGGGTTACACATATCCTGGGGGTGCATTCCCCACCTGGGATGGACAACTATTGCAAGCTTTCCCTGGAAAACCAGATGTTGTCCCTCTGTGATCACAGGGAAGGTCACAACTCACTTTTTTTTCTCTCCATTACCCTGGAAGCAAAAACAGGGAGAGCATCGCAGAAAACAGAAGGAAAACACTAACAGAAAAAAGAAAAGGTATGAGTTAAAAAAAGCCACCAAGGATCACTGCTCCAGTGTGCAAAATACCCAGGTCTGAGTCGTCCCCACTCTGGAATGTATTTCCTTCATCCCTGACTACCTGGAGCAAGGAATCAAGACCTTGTCACAGTCCTTCCCCAATGCCACCTGTCAATGTGCAGGATCCAGAAGATTAGAGTGACTCTTTCCTAAAGGCTTGAAAGGGAATTTCCCTTTAAACACCAATACCTACCCTCCCAGATGCTTTGTAACCTCTGGGTATATTCTTCCTCCATCAGGCCCCTTGGATAACCTCTTCCAACCCCTTCAGTGTGAGCTTCTCTTTGCTGTGCTCTGCAACTCAGTCCAGGCACAAAGCTCTCACAGGGACCTCTAGAGTTGGCTGTGCCCTCCTAGGATGCCTGAGATGACCCTCATGGGGCTGATATGGCACAGGACAGAAAGGAGAGGTTCATTTTTGGAGCAGAAATGATAGTGATAAGCACATGCCTGCACACTTGAATATTGTGTTTTCTGCATTTTCCTTAAAATATTAATATAGATGTTCATATACCCATAAATATTAATATATTTTTACCTTAATAAAAATATTAATATGCTTATAAAATAGCTTCTTGCAGATGATGCATGCCTGAGTTTCCACAGACAAAGAGCAAAGCTCATCCATCCAATATGAGATAACATATATTTCTACAGCCTGAAAAACAACCTCAAAAAATTAGGGTGCTCTGGAGAGGGAGGAGAATATGAAGGAAAGCAATTTTACTGCACAGGTAACATCATTCCAGAGATGTCTATGACTGTAGGTGGAAATACCTACACTGGAAGTTATTTCAAATATGCTGTTGCCTACCATGGGAAATTGGGAATCAGAAGCAAAGCATTATTATCTCACTGATTTTAAACATCTGAACTAGTGCAGGAGAAACCATTCTATTGGAAATGTTGCACCTCTCCAGCGATTTAAAAAAAAGTCCAAATATCCCTATCAATAAAGAAATGTCCATTCCCGGATTCCCAAAGTCCCAGTGGTAATGCATAGCAAGAGCTGCTCTCACTGCCCTCACCTACACCTGGAGTGAGAGATTTCTTCATCTCATTTTCATTTTGCTCTGGCATCTCATCAATATCTCCTTATAAGTCCCAGGGATAAGGAAACTTGTCTTCCTGCTACACCTGTAAAGCATGATGTAATTTTATGTGAATGATACATTAAAATAAATAACTGTGTGTTCCTGTGTCTAAGGGTCTCAAGCCCAGAAAATAAATTGCCCATCTCACTTTACAGCTTTACCATTGGCACATTGAAGAAGTAGCTCATTAACGAGTGAAGGAGGATGCAGAAAGGGGGAAATCCAATTTCTAGCTTGCAGTATTTTGCTAAAAACGTTGATAACAATTTCTACTATTAGTCTCTGTCAGAAATGCCAGAGTCATTACTGAGCTGGTGTGGCCAGAGGGCACCCTGCATCACAGCTCACTATGGAGTCTGAATAAACATTGCAAAGCACTGAAAAACCGTCTGTGCTTGAAAGTTTTCAAGTCATTAGAGAAGTACTCCACTCTGTTGGTAGCAGGCAGTTGAGCTGAAAGGAAATCTCACCTTCTGCTTTCCATTTCTGAGCTAAATTAGAGTGGTTTTTGTTGCTATCCCAGCCTGCCTCTGTGCAGGTGGGGCTGACTGACACACCTGAGTGTCTGATCCAGGCAGCAAATTCCATCCACACAGGGTCCCCTCTGAGCAGATCCACTTTGGGGTGGGAATTCAACAAGCTTTCTCCATGTGAAGACAGAGCTTGGCTGGCATCCCCTGAGCTGTCAATCCAGATCAAAAACCTTGCTGCCCCAAAGCACAGTAATTGTGAGTGGCTGCCTGTGCCTCCATCAGGACCACATACCTGAGAGGAGCAGGAAAACATCTTTGAAAGTGTTCCCAGTATTTCAGATAGATCACAGAATATCCTGAGTTGGATGGGACCCACAAGGATCATCAAGTCCAACTCCTAGCCCTGCACAGACACCCCAACAATCCCTTCATGTGCCTTTTTCTGCCTTTTATGTGGTTTAAAATCCTATGGCTCACATTCCCCAGGGATTTCCATAGGAGCTGGGTACTGGAGGGACATTGTGAATGTGAGTTTACACCTTCCTGAGCACAAAAGTACCCATCAGCTGCAGCATCCATGAGGCTTGAGATCTACTGTCTTTACTGCTGACTCTCTTCGGTGTAAGTGAAGCAATGATTCACCTTTTGGGCATACTGCAAGGATTAGTTAATGTTTGGGGAAGTGTTTTAATGATATGAAGTGTGGTAAAAATGCTAAGTATTATTATTGTTCCACTTTGTCTTCCACTTAAATATAAAGAGGGATTGTACAGCTACTTCCCAAGTGTCTCCCAAGGGTGTTTCTAAAGCAATTATGTTGGCTGACACTTTCGAGCCTCAGAAAATGGAAATGATTCAGAGGCTGACCAATCAGCCCCTTTACCAGCAGATGAATCTAACGACTTCAAAGCTATTCATTAGGCAGTACTATGAATTGATTACATAAATTAGCATGCTGCTGACAAGGCAGGGAAGGGAGAAGACAGCAGAGGAGGCCGACATAACACATCCCTCATATGGCAAAGACAGTGGTTATTAGGAGCCCAGAGCTAATGAAAGAGACAGATCCATTAGGCACGTGTCGCTGGAGGGGATTAATTGCTCCCCCTGAAAAAGGGCTGCTCCTCTTGCTACTGGAGGATTATATTTGTTCTGGCTTGTTGATCCAGGGACAACCATCAGGTTTAACAAAAAAAACCTGTAGTCTGTAACAAGAGGGAAGGGAGGTGATAAACTTGCATCAAAACCATTATTGAAATCTAAGCCCAAGCACTGCAAGGCAGCTTGGTTTAGTTGTTAAAAGGGAAGATGTGTGAGGAGGATTTCCTGTCTGAAACACCTGTATTTGGGAGAATTACAGTCAGAACTACTGGAAACAGGAAATTTTTCAGTGGAAGCTTTGAATGACAAAATCTGACCAGTGCAGAACCCTGCCTTCAAAGAAAACTACTTGTCCAGGTCTAGCACAATGCAAAGTTTATTGCATGATGCACTAAGTTTAATAAGTCTGGACCTAAGGTGGGTCAACCATGAACTGTCAACATCATCTCTCCAGGCAAAGCAAGCATCACTTCACAGAGCGACTGCCTCCCATGAAAACCAGAGAGGGATTGAATAAAATGGTTTGATTTCAATGTTTTTTTCCAATTTCTACATTCAGGACTCTCTGGACAGTCCTGCCAGTATCTCCCTGTTTAGTTTAGCCCAGAACATGCCTGTGTAACTCTAACCATAGGCAAACCCTTGTATTTTTTGTCAGAAGTAGGTTTTTCATGCATTGGAGTTGCTTCTGGCTCTGCTTTAAGGGAAGATGAGTTGAGTCATGATTTGAGTAATCCCTAATTAGAAGGGCACAAGTGTGTTGTTCAGCCCTTCAGACCCTCAAGTATATGCTTAAATTAAGCACATGTTGAAGAGCTCTTCTGAATCAGGAGCCTGAGCAAGCTGGGGCTGAATTTTCTGCTTTATGTTGAAATTGCTGCAATCCATTATTCCAAATGCAGCTCAGGCAATGAAACCAAACAAAAGCTCCTGGAAAAAGAAACTCTAAAGCAAAACTTACGTTCTGCAGACTCTGCTTGGTGAGTTTGATGCTGCTGTTTGTCTGCAGGAACAAACCTCTTGTCATTTGGTGACTGATGTTTGTTAAAATATTTTGTTCTCTTTAAAGAAGGAATTGATCTTCCTCAAAGACGGAATTACTCAGCGGTTTCATTACCAGAGAGGCAGGAATCCTGGATGTGACATCCATTGAGATTTCTTCCAAATTTGCAGGAAAATGTTGTGATTTAAAAAGGAAACCAGTTACAAGCTGGAGAGCAAACCTCCCCACAGTTGCGGATGGCTTGCTGGTTTCTGCTGGAGGAAAACCTGGGTTTGATGGATCACAGAGAAAATCCATTATGGCAACTGAATGCTGATGGCAGCTGCACCAATTTAGAACAACTGACTTCTCATGTTGCAGTAAAGAATTCAGCAAGATCAGGAACTACCAGAGCATCATTAAATCTGGATATTTAATGGAGCAGCTTTGTGCAACAATTGAACTTCAGAGAGGATTTTTTTTGTCCTTCACCATTGAAGTAATTTGGTGGATTTGTTATTAACCAAGAAAAATAAAACCAACTGGGATAGAATATCTTGCTAACTCAAGCCACCTCGGGGTTACACAGAGCCTGCTGCATTATGCAGTTGTTCCTTTGCATATTTCATTGGCTCTAGGGAAATATTAAAATTTGTAATTTCCATATTGCCAGATTATCGTACACTCTCCAGTGATTGTTCTCTCTATTTTTTATAATCTGTCAATTTTCACACTATTTAAAAAGACAATTTGACTGCTTTAATGCCAGAAAAATCTCACAGGGCATTTTCTTTCTTTTTCTTTCCTCGGCCTAGGAAAGGCTATTTTTAGGACTAGAAACCTTTCATTACCATTCACTGAGCACCTTGCCTTGCCATTGCAGATAAACACTGTGCTTAACAGTTTTTAGCCCTGAAAAAAAAATAAATAAAATTTTGAATCTGCTTCCAGGAAGTTTTTGGTAAATATCATGTCACTGTGGAGTGCCACATTAATAGAGAGTGTGAAATACAAGTGTGAAGTCTACGATATATCTATACCCTGTGCTTTTATATGTCATAATATTTAGTTATCCACAGCTAAGGAACTCACAAGATTCTTGAAGTGCAGTTAGCAACACTTTGCACATTTTACAGACAAGGAGATGGAAAAAATACGTGAAATAGATGCAGTGGCTGGCAGGAGGTGAGGCAGCTCCTCAAGTGCAGCTTCTGGTATTGATTTGCCATCTTCTTGTCCCATGAGCAGCCCAGTGCCTCCAGATTTGACTAAAATGTGAATGAAATAATAAGGGTGGATGAGGTAAAAGGCTTGATAAGGGGAAATACAAAGCTTGTCAACAGACAGACACTTTTTGTGCAATAATTAATTGTGGGAATGAAAAGTGGATTTTTCAGTTCCTTTTTGAGTCTCAGTGTCAATGTTTGCTCCAGATGAATTGCCTTCAAATTTATTTGCACAAGAACCTGCTCTTGGCAGGCAGAACAGCAGAAGTGGGTGTCCTGAAGCCCTGTTTTTCTGGGTCCTGCCCCATCCCTGGAAGTGTTCAAAGCCAGGTTGGAGGGGGCTTGGAGCAACCTGGGGAAGTCAAGGTGTCCCTGCCCATGGCAGGGGGTTGGAACGAGGGGATCTTTGAGGTCCCTTCCAACCCAAACCATTCTGTGATTCTATGAAAATAATAGCAAAAGTACTCATCATATTGTGGAAGAAATTGAACTCTTCCCAGTGATGTGCTCCTCTGGCATGGCTGAAAACACGTGGCAGGGTCAGAAACGCTAAACAAAGCTCAGTGGAAAACTCACCCTGTTCCTGCTGTAAGGGAAAAAAGTTGTAGAGCCAGAGAACAATAGACCCATCCAAGCTCTTTCAAGGTTTCATTAGTTCCTAATGGAAACTTTGCAGATGGAGCAGGCAGCAATTAACAATTAGCAGCAATTAACAATTATTCCTTCAACTTGCCTCCTGCTGGAAAAGGGAGACAATTGAAATCTTATTTGCTGCCCTTGTTCTTGTCCCTCTCTACCTTGGGAAATGCATTATCAGGGAATCATTTTATTTAGCAAATGTTTTGGCTTCTGGTAAATAGTTGCTCCCTTAGGGACAGATTTTTAGAAATGCCTGAAGATACAGCTGCATACTCCCTTTTCAGGTTTTTGGGAGAGGAAGAGGGAAATCTCATTTCAAAATCAGAAAGGTTTTTTTTTTAATGGAGCAAAAATATAGTGAGCCAAGTTTCTATATAACTGAAAAGTGTGGATAATTGAGCTGTGTAACACACAACTCTCCTGCTCTGCATTTGGTGTGAAGAAGTGTCTGCCCTTGTCCTTACGACTCTGGCAACTCCTGTTCCTGACTTCTTCTTTCCCTCCCAAGTGCTTCTTCTATCCCAAACACTGATTGAAAAGCTTGTATATCCAGGTAGATAGATTGGGAAAATGAGCCAGCTGAGAGCTTCTCAATGTGGGTTAATCTTTAACCAGATGAATTTCCCAGCTGCCAAAATATTGATGTGAGATAAGGGAGAAAGGAGGAGGAGCACAGGGAGGGGATGGGACCACTCAGTGAAGCAGGAATTGCTCCCTGTAATGCCACAGAGTAACCTTGGCTTGTGAGTTAAGAGCATTAAATTCTCCTTGTTTACTCTGGGCCACAAACCTATATTTATGTAGTTATGACAAGTAGATAAAGCACAGAAGTCCATACTAACTTCTCCTCCTGTAACTTCTTCACACCTCTCTGCTCAGAAACTACCAACCTTCTTCCATCCAGGACAGGCTGACAGAGGAAGAGATATTGTGGAATAATACTGCGTGACTCACTGATACTGATCTGTGAATGCAAGAGATCCCCTGTAATTAATCATTTAGAAACAGGCCACTAATACTCCAAAGACTGTAATTTATACAACTTCTGTCAGATTTGTTATCCAGATCAGAGGATAAAAGATAGGGGTTGCAAGGATCTGAGGAGGAAGCAGCCCACAAATCTTCACTGCAAGCTCAGCAGTGAGAAAAGCAGCATTAAACTGCTCATCCATCTTAGAGGAGCTGCCTGGACCAGGGTGGTTATCACCACACATATCCCTTCAGAGACAGAAACAACAAAGGGAGGCTGGATCTTGGTTCTCCCAGAAAGGATAATGGAAGTCTCCATGTCTGGAAATATTTCAGTGTCTATGAATGCACCTGGTACAGCCAGGGAAGCTGCAGAGGCAGAAATCCAGGTGGGACATCAATAGGTGACACAAAATACGTGTTTACCGCTACCTGAGAGACCTCAAAATTCCACTTCTGCTGCTGTAAGGTGTGACTTTTCCTTGGCTTTGCCATCCCATTAATGTCTTGGATGCCCTGGGGTATCACAGTCTCCAGCCTTGGCTGGAGTAAGGTCAGAAACTCTCTGCCCAGGCACCTGAAAATTAAATAACACAATATTATTGCCCTGCTCTGCATTAGTGGCTGTAACCCTCAGGTGTTCTGATCAGCCCAGAATTCCCTGTTCTCAGCTCATATAAGACAAACCTGTTCTGACTCCTCTCTGGAGTCAGAAGGGGTGAGATTGCTCCAGAAAATGCACGATGCTGGATCCTCAAACCTTTTTCTCTGAAGTCCATCAGGCAGGCCTTCTGCTCCTGGCCACATCTTAAAACCAGGGTGGTCACAGGATGGTTTGGGTTGGAAGGGACCTTAAAGATCCTCCTGTTCCAGTCCTCCTGCCTGGGCAGGGACACCTTCCACAGATGTCATCACTTGGTGAAACATCTAAAAGAGGCACTACTGAGCTGCAGGCTGAGATGACCACTCCAAATTAAGATTTCCACCAGTATTTAATCTGCATTTTAAGGTGGTGTCTAGGAAATGTCTTATGACCACTTCTTTCCACCTTTGAAGTTTTTCTGAAATGTCACCAAATTTTATCATTATTCCAAAATTAAAAGCCTCTTCCTGTCCACTTCTAAAAATTACCCAAAAACCCACTCAATTATCTGAAGCAAACTTGTTTTCATCTGCCTGTCAATAATACTAATAAAAAATTAATCTAATGCTTTTTTGCTTCACATCTCTAAAACCCTATCAGTAGAAAATTAAAGATAGATTTGTCTGAAATAAGTTATATTTGAGAATGTCTTTTCCTATTCTACATGAAGGAACTCATCTTCAAAGCAATCTGCACAAATCCCATTAACAGCAATAACAGAATTTGTGCAAGTAACTCCCCAAACACCACTTTGAACATGAAGCCCTTTACTTAATTCAATATCAGATAAAAAACCCGATCTAAGGCAATGCAGACTTGATATTCTGGTTTGTGTTTCGCAATGGACTGGAGACTCACGCACAGAGACACATCCAGGCACATTCATGCCACAGCTTAACAAATTTAAATAAAAACAGAAAAGCTGCTTCTTATTAAAGAAATTAAATTGAGGGAAAAAATAAAATAGAAAAATAAAGGTAAAGAAAAGGGCCCCCAGCATCAATCTCAAATAGCAACTTCATTCCCAGTAGAGAAAAGAACCTTCTTTGAGACCTGTAGATAAAATATTTTCCTCCACCACCTCATTCTTAATAAATATTTGAGCTTGGACTGGTTCTTTTCTACCCTGCCCTCCCACACACAAACGCAAAGTACTCCCATAAAAATTCAGATTTCACCCAGAAACACCATGGCCAAGGCAGCACCCAGCCACTCTCTTAGGGACACTGTTCTCAAGCACTTTAAGGAGGGTGAAGGTTAAACACTGACTTTTTAAGTGTCCTAGAGACCCTGGATCAGGGAGCAGGAGGAAATAGATTCCAAATTTTTCACTGCAACACTGCATAATGTGCAGGATCATCCTGGCCTGTCTCAGTGGTTTGTGTGATAAGAAAAGACAGCAGGACTTTGCCACTGAAACAGGATGTATGAATTTATTCCAAGTTCTTGGTTGAATATATTCTCATTAATGTATTTGTCATCTGTAATAATAGAGGTTAAAAATGAAGTCAAGCTCCAAGGCACCAGCAGTTGTAGATACTGAGCAAGCACAGAACAAAATGAGGGTTTTTCTCCCTTAATGAGATGATATTTCAGGGCTTTAATCCAGGCTTAAGTAGATCCTTGGAGGCAGAGAAGACCTCAGATGGTCCAGGTCCCTGTACTTCTCTCCTTTTGTTCTTCTCTCTATTGTCTTTATGACAGAGCACAAAACAAGGTGTCAAACAAAGCCTGGCACTCAGGAGCCTGGCACTGGGTGGTTGTGGACCTGCTGTGCTCAATCCCTCCTTGGCCAGGGCAAGTCCTGCTGTGGAGGCTCTGAATATAAAACTGCACTGCTAAAATGCAATTGAGGCCAATCATACATCCAGGAGCTCAGCAGAGCTTGCAGTTTTCCTGTGCAAATCTAAAGTTTCACAGTTTGGATGCTTGAGGTTCTTCCGGCTACAAACAACAGAGAATTCCAGACGAATGTTTGCATTTTGATGTGGTGATCTACCCCTGCACACTCTTCCCTAGAGACAAGTGTGATCTCACCTTAAACCAGTGGGAACATGGTCCCTGATTCCTGCAAGGTCCCCAGGTCTCAGTGACAAGTCCATGAAAACAATAATAGTAACACTTTCATCCCCTGAACACGTCCCTGCCTTTTGCTGGCTGTCATCACAGGAGGCTGCTGATTGTCTTGGCATGGAACATCTCCTGGGTGCCCTGCACGTGTGGGAGGGAGGTTTATGGACACAGGTCCTTCCTTCCCTCCTTCCCTCCTTCCTTCCCTTCCTTCCTTTCCTTCCTTTCTTCCCCTCCCTCCCT